TTTAACACAATAGTTGTGTTAGTGGTAATTTTACTCAACTTTATTTACAGTGAATGAATGAAAAGTTTCGTAATGGAATAAAAAACCGATGATGATAATTTGTGTTAATTTTTTGACGGCTTCAGTATGTACATACATAACAAAGGGCTGCTTGCTAAGCCATAAATATATACGTAAGCACTAATTTTTTTTAGATTAAGATAAATTTAATCAGTTCATATTTCCATGTAAGCCTGACATTTAGTGTTTTAGCGTGGACCCAAATTCTTTCACTCCAACTTTACGGGTGGAATTTTAGTATAAGATGTACACAAGAATACACAAATATTGACGAGAGTTCCATCAATGGATAATATTTATTTATATATTTTTTATACTTATATATTTACATATTTCTTGTAAAGAGCGGTTCTTAACCTCTTTCGTACTACTGATTTTTAAATAAAATTTCACATCAGTGCGCTGTTGATTGCATAATTATACCTGATAGCAACCAATTAAAATTTTCATGCAGTTTCCAATTTATAAATTTCTTAATATGAAAAACACGAAAAACTTTTTAACATTTGTCGGGATGGGGAAAATACCAAAATTTTAGAAGAAAAATGTCGAAAAAGATCCACTTTTACCATCGAGTTTTCCACAAAATACCATAGAAATAATTTTTTTAACGAAATTTTGTTGTCAGGGTAATAACCACACAAATGTGAGTACTTTCGTCGTTGATAGGTTAAACATAATATTGTGCCCAAGTCCCCCTATTTGGAAAAGATTTGACAATTTAACTTAACGTAGACTTAGGTGACTCATCGCCTGTGACGTCACAGGCCTAAAAATTAGCACATTTTTAATCATTTCTCGGCTTTAGTATTTCATTCAAACATATAAAGCGACAAGTTTGTAGAACAAGCCTTTGCGCATTTATTAAAAATATACACTCCAGATTTTGACAGTTTTTGAAGGAGTTTTTGCAGTTTTTGCAAAAAAAGTGAAAGGACATAAGACCTCCTGTTAAAGAGGATTCCATTTAAAAAAAATTGGCTTATCGTAATTTAAAAAACTCATCGTCATCCTATTTATCAACTTAATTGCTTTGATTGTCTATACTCGACTTAATTGTCCCAGAAAACAATTTTGAAATTATGGTTCCTGGAGAGTAACTATAACGTGGGTAGGTATACGCGTATGTGTAAATCCACCACCAATGGACGATCCACCTACTGCGTATTATATTAGATTTGAATGAATTGAATAAAAACACGATAAAAATGATCTTAGAAGATTTAGATATACAATACGTAGTGAATGGACGCCCCTTCCAAAACAAAACAAAACACAAAACATATGTTCTGGTGAACAAGAAATACCAGATAAAATGCTTTCGCGCTGTTTTTTGCCATGAGATTTTTTGAGACGATGAGTCACCTAAGTCAATCTTAAATTCTAAAACTTGGTCAATCATAAGTAGGAAAGTTTGCTCAAGTTAAAGTTTAAGTGAAATAATGTGGTAAAATTTATCGGATATTGTGTATTTTGCTCAAACATTTATAAATTTTGCAAATTCATATTCGTATTTCGCATGAATAAATTTAAACTATTACCTCGCATTTCACCTTCGCATCGGCGCCATGCGTGAACTTGTGATACTTCAAGGCTGCCTTAGTTTTGAACGTTTTTGGGCACGTGGAACATGCCAATCTACTTCTTGCACGTGGATCCATTCGAAACCTTATCCGGAAAATCTATTTTGGAAATACGCTTAAACTGCACTTGGTTAAAATTTTTCCACCCTTACGCTCGTAATCGACAATGTGTACATAAATATGTACACATGAGCATATGTAATTATTTGTTAGTAATTTAGCGAAAGGAATGACAAGGTTTACATCCACAGGCAATTTTAAAGTCTAAACGTAAAGTTCCCCAAGGTTTTGTATGGCTTTCAGCCCAAGTGTATTTTTAGGAAGAGAAGGGATTAGAAAGTTAGTAGAAGGGTGAAGGTACATAAATGGTCTGCACGGAAGGGCATCTGTAGATACCCTTCCGTGCAGATCATTTGTATTTGCAGTACATGTTGAACAGCCTTTAAAGCTCCCCTTCCGTCCCCTGACTTTAGGTACATGGTACAATTAGGCTTCGTTAAAGCTTCAAGGAGACCGCAGGTGATTGTCAGACATATTTATATCCACTCAATATAATTTCAGCATAAGTAGCTGAAATAATTTCAGCTACTTATATAATTTCAGTGAAATTATATTATGAGCACACATGTACATACCTAGTCGGGTACGAAATTCTTTGATAAACGTTTTTTACTGCAGAAAAATAATGGGTAAGAATTTTTAATTAAAATTTTCTATATGGATGCATAATATACATGTGTATAATATAAAAATACTACCTTTCCAAATTTCCTCTCCTGGAGTACACACGCTTGAGAAATCTGATGGACGGCCGGTCGCTTGGAGCACGCGCGGTTTCTACCGGAAAATGGTCACAAGCGTTGAGAAACAAAATTTGAGAACTTCTGCACCAGTGGAAGTTTTAGAGCAGGTCATGGTCTCAATTTTAAGCCCCAAGTCATAATCCAAATGATTAAGGTCTGCTATTACCGATGGCATTTTTGTGACTAAATTAAATCGATGAAATGAGCTCATAGTCAATTTTGGACAATTTTTGCACCATATGGGTGAGCCGTGACCTTTTAAGAAATTCAGTTTCTATTTTTCACTAGGCCGGACTTCAAAGGTTTTACACTAAGTTTTGCAACTTTGGTAATGTAATTCTTGGCTTGCGCGGTAACCCTTTCTAGAGAAAAACAGGGTTTCGCTTTCTCCAGCAGATTAATTCAAATCCAAACCATCAAAGACTTCGGGGGATGAGATCTTCGACGTTTTCTATTTGCCAGGGGTATGTATGATTTTTGCTTAGTGCAAATTCTTTAATTTTCCTTGTTAAATTTGCGCAAAGCTTAGGATAAGTTTCCACAGGAAACTTATCGAAGAAGTCGAGAAGTGTATCGAGAAGTGTGCGTAATCCAAGCGATCAGTTTACCATCAGATTTTGTAAGTGTGTGTGCTCCAGAAGAGGAAATTTGAATATTTAGTATTTTTATATTATACACAGGTATATTATGCATCCGTGTGGAGAATTTTAATTAAAAATGCTTACCCGTAATTTTTCTGCATTCGAAAACGTTTATCAAAGAATTTCGTACCCGACTAGGTATGTACGTATTTATATGTACGCATGTATGGGTAGACCGCAGTCTATCCAATCTCCTGGCGATGGGACCGTTCAAATATTATGGCATTAGACAGGCAATCATCTTTTCCTCATAGGTAATTATCTCCTCGGGTTAAATTTCCAGGAAAAGTAGTAAAACTTTGGAATATAATCGAACGAGTTTTTAAACCCTTATGCATGCCCCAAATTAGGGTTGCCGGGGGTAACGGGTCGGGTACCCGTTACCCGCATACCCGCACGATTCTTGCGGGTACCCGTTATCTGCGGGTAGCGAGAACTACCCGCACGGGTAACGGATAGTTCAGTTTTTATTTAATTATCCTCATAACTCAGTTCACGAAGAAAGTTAGCAGCAAGTTAACCCATTTACCAACAAAAGCGTCAATTTATTATTTTTCCATTTCAAAATTTGTCATTTGCCAGTAACTAGCGTTTATAACGAGCGTCTCTTTCGGAAACCACAGAAGCCTATGCCAGCCTCATATACATTTCACGACCAGAAAATGTGGAGAAATTATTGTTTCTCAAGTATAAGTTGCCTAAAATATCAGTAATAATTTGACTTGTATTTGTGTCTATTTATGTAAGACTGACGAGATTTTAATTTGTGCTTTGAAGATGAAAACCATGAATCCGATTGAAACCAAGAAATTTATATGTAGACAATTTCTTTTATGAAAAGTTGATTTAAAGCAAAATTTGAAAATTGAACTAAAAATTGAACCTTTTTCAAGCTAAATATACCAAGATTGCCAAGCGAGTATATCAAAAAGTCAGGCCAAAAATTAGAAATCGCGAGATACTTATCTTTCCGCTAAATGGCTCCTTCGAAGAAAAATATGGCGGCAACGTTTAATTTTTAAGTAATTGTTCTGTATCTTTTTCCTCTACTGGACGAAATCCATAGAGGACTTTGAACTCTGTCCACCAATAGTTTCCTTTAAGCGGGTCATTCAACGGAGAAATAAGTGTCATGTAATTCCTATTTTTTGGCTTAATTTTTTGATATACATAAATCGGTATTGCTTGAAAAACGATCCAATGTGTGAATGCCAGCCAAAAACTTTGGTTTCAAAAATAACGGGTAACATCTACGAGTAAATTAGGGCATGCGTTACTTGCATAGCATTATCTCAAAGTACATATCAACCCAAATGAACAATTAATTGATCAAATCAAATTTATTCTGAAGTTTGGTTAGTGTTTAACCTAATTCTCATAACGGGTAGCGGGTAACGGGTACCCGCACGGGTAGTTGTGCTGCGGGAAGCGGGTCGAGTAACGGGTATCATTTTCGCTACCCGCGGCAACCCTACCACAAATTACATTTTAGTCAACTAATGTCACGTCAATTTTTAAGCTATTTAAGTCTTGAAAATATTAGTTTTATACAGCATCTAAGAAAGTCTGGAAAATTTGTACGCTTAAATTTTCCTTTATTGAGCAGATTAAAAGTAAAACGGTGACCTATTTATGTACGCATACCTACAGAGGGTGTCCGTAGATTATGTGGACAGGCTGAATTACCTTGTAGGTCATGAACACGACGAGTTTGAATTGCTTTGGTGTTCTCAATGTGTTCCCCATTCTTCTTGGCAACAAGTATGAGTTTTATTAACCTAACTTATAGGTTATAAGTTAGGCATCAAATCCTACAAGGTTTTATAAACTTATAAATACAGTGGAGAGTAAAAGTAGCAAGCAAGATGACAGAAAAATGGTGCGACTTGAAGTAATCAAAATTTGTTGTCATGTACGATTTACTGCCGAAATTATCAAATTTATTTTATTTGAACATAGCAAAACTCTCCTAGCTACAAAAAACCGTTCAAGCAGAACCAGTAAATAATTCTAACCAAAAATATTTCGCTTCACCTGAAAACGGATAAAATGCAATTAATATAACGTTCCCAAATTTCAATTTTAGCCTTTATCCAGGAAATAATATTGTAATCTAGAAACGTCAGCCAAAAATTTGAACTATTTTATCAAACGAGGCCGAAAATCTCAAAAAAGGTAGCTAAAAACAGTCGCGAAGCACTCCAAAAGCACAGGAAACGCATAGGAAAATAACATTGTTTCTGAGGCTTTTAACTTTTATCAAATTTAAGATGTTTATTCAAATATTACGGCTAACTATTTGGGAATACCTATTATGTGTCGATTCATTTCGTCATCGAAGTTCTAATCGGGTGCAATAATGAAGATATGTACATATATTTATCTGTGTCTCGTCGGCGTATAAGGATATACATATATGTACGTAGAAAAAAACACGAGAAATTTCCTAAATTACAGTCATTCAAGAGTATGACGACGGCAGTGTGTTACCAATCTCGAAAAGTTACAAAACTTCTTCCTGCAGAAGTAGCACTCTGGTCGATTCGCAGGATTGTGGCGCCTCACGTGTTGAGCCAAATAAACTTTCGAGTGGGTAACGTAGTCACATTTATCGCACGAGTGAATCTTATCCCGATTAGCGGAATGTCTCGCCTCCACGTGACGCCTCAAGTTGCCTGATGTTGAACACGTTTTGTCACAAAATGTGCACGAATGATTCCTCTGATTTTCATGCACAACTTTGACATGCTTTTGCAAGTCGGACCTACGTGAGCACATCTGGGGACAACGTTCACACTTGAAAATTCTTCGGGTAGATTTTTCCAAATGTGTAACCTGAACATAAGGGGATATGAATTTATGAATACTTAGCTGAACTTTTACTTCATTTAACCCAACATTATTTGTACCTCGTGGCTTTTTAAATTGCCTGCGCCTGGGAACCTCCTCCCACAAACGGAACAAATGTAGGCCTTCTCCGTCGTGTGGGTGGTAATGTGCGTCAAAAGTACACGCCTGGTTTTAAATTCTTTTCCGCAAAGTGCGCACGGGAATCGGGTAGGATTCTCGGTATGCTCACGTTTTGTGTGTTTCGAAACATCGTCTTTCACTGGGTAAGATTTATCACAGTCAGGAAACCCGCACTGAAACCGAGGCCGTTCGATCGTGCTGTGAACGGCACCAATGTGTCTTCGTAAATCTGTAGATGTGTAAAATACACGGTGACAAATGTCGTAACTGGGTCGGTCTCGGCTGGTGTGAAGCATTCTTATGTGGACGGATAAAGCCAGAGGATTTTTCGAAACTTTCCCGCAGATCTAAATAATAAGAGAAAAACTGATGTACAGTTGAATGTTTCTATTCGCATGTCACTTCATTTCATTGTGCCCATTTTTGGGCCTTGTATATTGATTAAACTCTCACGAATCATTCAAAATACGCAAATGAGATAAGTGGAACAAACATGTAACTGTATTTGGTTTACTGAATTTTTAAATTATTTATGATGATACGATTACCTTGCATTTGACCTTCGCATTGACGTCATGGGTGAACATGTGATACTTTAAACCAGCCTTACTGGTGAGCGTTTTTAAGCACGTAGAGCATGAAAATCCACTCCCTGCACGTGGGTCCATTCGAAATCTTATCCGAAAAAAAATTAGCAAATAAACTCCAACTACACTTTTTCGTAATGATTTGGTAAAAATTGGTCTAAACCAGTAATACTTTATTTTCTACGTATACATATCTTAATGAATGCCGGAATAGTGACCAAGTTTATTTCCTTCGCCCACCTGAAAGTTTAAAACTAAACTTCTACAAGTCTTTTTATCTGAGGAATGGCAGGCCAATTCTATTTCAAAGAAGGGACTGGTAGAGAATGTTCGTAGAAGCCCTCAGGCGACTGACTGCACGCAAGGGCAGTGACTCGGAGCAGCCAAATGTTGAACACCCTTCAAGGCATCCCTTCCCTTATATTTACCTAAAATGGTTAAGGACTTGGTTCAGAATCCCCCGTGGTAACACTAGGCCATTTTTATGTAACTTTGTCCCAGGTTTGCATAGGATGAGCTGTATGTAAAATTTTGGTGTGCGGATGATGCCACCCGATCAATCGCACCCCATCAATCGCACCCCGGCTAACGCACCCCACCATTGCCACCCCTAGGATGATGCCACCCCCGATCATTCGCACCCGAGCAATCGCACCCCTGTAGATGCCACCCCCAGGCCCCGTTTTAGGTATAGGCGAGCTAGGCAACGGCCTAGGGCGCCAGAAACTCAGGGGGCGCCGGTAGGCGCCCCTATGCACTAGATAAAAACAGCTTGGTGGAATTTTATAATTGGTCGTGGAAAGGAATATAAAAACTGACTTTCACTGAAGTCTTAAATCTGTGAAACTATATTCGTAAGTATTGTTGTCAAATTTCAACTTGAGAATCTCGCCAGATGAATTTTCTATTTTAATAATAAGTTGCAATTTGTTCTTAACACTTACAGAAGTGGGAGGTTGTTACAGGGTATCCCGACCCCGGGATGGTACTAGGTTGGGGTTTTGGGGTATTACTGGTCGTAAATCGGTAAACCCAGCGAGTTTTACTATGTTGAAGGGGTTTAACCCGGGTTTTACTGGGTTTTACTGGGGTTTTACTAAGTTTTATGTAAAATTCAAATAGATAAATCAATAGAAACAATTTCCAAGTACATATTTAACTCGAATTAAGTACATACTCTGATTAATATTCTGTAAGTTTCTATATTTATTCAGAATTTTCCTTTATAATCCAAAAATCCCAATTTACAACTTAACTTGAAGTACTTACAATGCAAGTCTTTTACGTGTACAACTCAGATCTGGCTGGGACCAATTTTATTTTGTTCACCACAAAAAATATAGTATATAGTATAGTATTTATTGATATATGGCCAGCAGCCCTCATCAACTTTAAATATTACAGAGTTAGATATGTAAATGTGAATGTAATCGTAAATGTAATGTAGAGAGTAGTCAGAGGAATAGTGGGAAAACCTAGCTAGGATGGAGAGCTAGGAAAACCACTATCACCTCTGGGAATGTGGCCCAGAGGTCCATTCGGCTCTGACTACAGAGACACCCAGGTAGGACAAATGAGTGATAGAGATCATAGGCAGATCTCACGGGAGAGTGGTGATATCCAAATGAGGACGGCACCGTGAAGGCGGAAGAAAGACGAATGAAGGTTATTGGGCGGGGCGTCCACGGACCACAAAATACCCTAGCGCCCTTTCGGGCTCGGGCTAAGTGTCCCCATATGGCCTCAGCCGGGGCCGATCGACACTACCCACTTGCCCCTTCATCCCTTACAGCACAACCGGGTCATGGGACCCCCGTAGCCCCGACTACGCTGCCCACCGCCATGCACGACCCCGCTCCCACTCTTCCACCAACCACCCCCCATGGTCACCACCCCGACATATCAAACAATGACCTACCTGGGGGAGTCCTCCTGGCGTAGATCCTCCCGTGCACTGAGTCCGGCGAGATCCGTCTTCGCCTGATGGCTCAGCTTGTCGTTGCTGGAACGGGTGTGGCAGGGGGTGTTACCAGGCACGCAGGTGGGGGGTGTGAGTGGACGAGGCTCACATGGCGAAATGGCCTTGGGACACACTTTACTAGCCCTGGCACACCCGCGACCCAGATGGAAGAGAATCCAGTTGCAGAGCGAGAGAGAGACACGTCGTGCACGGTTGGATGCCAAAGAGGAACTCTTGTTCACCACAAAAAATAAGCATACCCGTATTTTTACATTTTTCATAATGCGCTAATTTGAGCGCGAGGGGCGAATTTTAAAACGTTTTTCAGCCAAAACCTCGCTTTTTAAAAATTCCGTAAATTTTCAAATTTTAGCGCGAATCATAAAATTCGAAAACATGTCTCTTCAGAATGACCTACCTGACTTATTAAAAATCCAATTGTCTCGAAATTTAATTTTCAAAATTTTTTGCCAGTTTTTGAAATTCATTAAAATTATAAACTCTTTGAAATTTTTAATTTTTCAAAAAATAATGCATGTGGATTTTTTATAAGTCAAGTAAGTCATTCTGAAGAGACATGTTTTCGAATTTTTGGATTCGCGCTAAAATTCGAAAATTTACGGAATTTTTAAAAAGCGAGGTTTTGGCTGAAAAACGTTTTAAAATTCGCCCCTCGCGCTCAAATTAGCGCATTATGAAAAATTAAAAAATACGGGTATGCTTATTTTTTGTAGTGAATAAAATAAAATTGGTCCCAGCCAGATCTGAGTTGTACACGTAAAAGACTTGCATTGTTAGAGTTTGATCATATAAAACACATTAAGTGTTTTTCGGGGTGTTCCTGGCATTTTGCAATGAAGTTTTATTGTAGTTCTTGAAAAAATACATTAATTTAACAAATTAGTGTAGCATTGTAATTTTCAACAGTTCACCCCAAACATTGAGTAAAACCAAGTAAAACCCAGTAAAACCCCGGGGTTGTTGTTTTCAAGGTAAAACCCCGGGTTTTTCCGAACTCTGGGTGGTTATCTCCGAGTTTGGCCGGACCAATCTTAAATTGTTCGCGCTTAGAAATATGTAAACAGATCAATACTTTCTGCGCTTTCTAGAATGCGCATGTTTTCGTCTGTGGCGGAATTTCTAAATAAATTTTCAGCCAAAATCTGGATTTTTTAATACTCTCGGCCTTATCAATGTTTTGATAAATTCCAACTTAAAAAATTATGCACAATTTTTACTCAGAATTGCTTTTCTCAAATTATAAAAATTCGTTTTTTTTAACTATAAATTTAAAAAATTCAACGCTTTTTGCGTCTTTAAAGATTCAGAAAAGCTCGTATCATAAAAATACAAACGTTTCAAAACTTTGAAAAATTAATTTTTATAATTTCGGCTAAGTAAATCAGGCAAATTGGAAAATTAACAGCGTTTTGAAAACAAAATATTCAGATCTTAACTGTCATTTTAGTCATAAATTCCCCCACAATTGCTATCCACACATCCTACAAACCGAAAAAATGTGTGCCCCTTATTTCTGAGCATGAACAACTTAAAGTTTAGAACTCGGAGATAGCCACCTTACACCTCTCCATCTTTAGTATAATTTTAATTTTGAATCAGCAAAGCTTCAAAAAGTGAGAAATCTTAATCAGGCGCCTGTGCCATAATTAAATTAAATTATTTTTTGAGGAATTAAAAATTTGGAACTCAACTTATTTCAAGAAGGTCATTTATGCAAATGAAATTAGTGGAAAATTCAAATTGCATTTTTCTTAAATTTGCGTTATGCAAAATTTGCGCACGATTATATTGTAAGGTGTAGTAAAAGTGTTTTCGTGCACCGACGGTGCGAGCACGTAGGGGCGCGATTATCTTTTTGCCTAGGGCGCCACATTTGTTAGAACGGGGCCTGGCCACCCCTTATCAATCGCACCCCTAGGAGTATCCCACCCCCGATTTTGTGAGATTGTGACAAATTTTCGGGCACAAATAAATGAGTGTAAATATGCGATATGTTGCTGAATTTATTGGGGTTATAAAACAATGCTAGGATTATCTCATAAGTGAGATTTTGAGTTACCGTCATCGTTTTTAAATAATGGACATAATCCTAAGAATTCATGAAGGATTTACACATTAATCCTATTACTAGTAAAAATAAAGCTGAACTGATTAATTTTTAGACCTAATTGTTTATATTTTGACGATATTTGAATTTTTACTGAGATTTATTTTCGTTGATATTGACTTATGTGTTTCAATTTTTACGGAGATTTAATTTTTTATAGATTTTTTGTCGAAATATGAATTTAATTTATTAAGCCTGATGATATTTGAATAAATTACACGCCTTAGGGAAGCATTAAGAAAGTAATATGTACATACACACGTACACGTTTGCTTTATTTTTACTAGTAGCAGGATTAATGTGTAAATCCTTCATAAGGATTGTGTCCATTATGTAAAAACGATGACGCCCTACCAGCACAACCTGTCGGGTTCCGGTACATGTTGCCAGCGCCGATTTTGTGCCAATGTGCCCCATTGAATTGTATACCGATTTCGTGCTGGTACAAGGAAATCGGTATCTTACCGGCACAGTTTTGGTACAGGTGGAACCGTACATATAGTACCGATACCATTTTTGTATAGTGTTGCAGGTACAGTCCCGGTACCCAAAATTTGTTCCTAAACTGTAAGGTACCGATTTCCCTGTACCAACAAGAAATCGTTATACAATCGGTACCGAGAAATGTGGCATACCGGTACAAAATCGGCACTGGCAATGTGCTAGTAGGGCGGTAACTCAGAATCTCACTTATGAGACAATCCTAGCATTGTTTTATAGCCCCAATAAATTCAGCAACATATCGCATATTTACAGGCATTTATTTGTGCCCGAAAATTTGTCAAAATCTCACAAAATCGGGGGTGGGATACTCCTAGGGGTGCGATTGATAAGGGGTGGCATATACAGGGGTGCGATTGCTCGGGTGCGAATGATCGGGGGTAGCATCATCCTAGGGGTGGCAATGGTGGGGTGCGATTGATGGTGTGCGATTGATCGGGTGGCATCATCCGCAAATCTAAAATTTTTGACTCTGGTTTATTAACTGCTAAAACTATTCGGAAAATTTATAAAGAAAAGTTATTGACCCCAAACCACACCCGTCTCGTGTAATCTTGGTTTTCCCAGGGAATATTCATTTTTGTTAAGATCAACGTTTGTGAAAAAACTAGCGAGCAAAATTAGTTTCGGTTTTTGCCAGAAGCTGGATAAATATGTTGTTTAGTGCACCAACTATTTTAGATAATTTATGAAAGTCCAGGAGGTTATTTAACATACAAAATGTAAGGCAAAACCAGTGTCGCCAATAAACAAAGCGCTATATACACCTTCTATCAAATTGATAAATTATCCAAATGATCTCCTCGTCTAGATTGAGGTCTTGGCTTCATTTAAAAATTAAAATATTCCCCATACATACATAAGGTTAGTCAGGACTCTTGATCTAAATTCAAAAATCCACTACAGATTATATGTTGCTATGTTGTGCACCTCCAGAAACATGTGCGGTTTGGGACTAATATTTTCATTTTATAAATTTATTGAGTAGTTTTGCTAATTAATGCACCAGACCCAAATTTTTTACACGCAGCCCATCTTATGCAAAGCTGGGGCAAAGTTGCATAAAAGTGACATAAAAATGACAGTGTTACCACGGGAGATTCTGAACCAAGTCCTTAACATGTTTAACTTTAAAGACTCGTCAATGCCCCGACGTGAGTTTAGTTGAGTGTACATATATGTGTATCCACTCAATTGCAATCACATCAGGGTTCGCTACCCCGGGTTTTTGTGGGTTGGGGTTTTTGGGGTTTTTGTGGGTTTTTGGGGTATCAAATCTCCGGAAAAACCCTAATGCTTAATGGGGTTTTTGCGGGTTTTTGTGGGTTTTTGTGGGTTTTTCCGGGGTTTTTGTAAGATTTTGGGACAGATTGAAACAAAATCCCTTAAACTACAACTTAAATCAATGCTAATTAAATTGACGGATTCATCATGAAATTTTGAGAATTTTCATGTGCGACTTGAATTTCCAAGTTTTATTGCATATTTCCAAGTTTGCATGCGAAATATGAATTTTCGATTTAACAGTCCAACTCAATGATAACGCTTAAAATTGCATGTCAAAATCGTATATTAAATTACTTTTTATCTAATATATAATTTAAAGAATTTTGGTTCAACCTGCCCCAAAATCTACAAAAACCCACAAAAACCCACAAAAACCCAAAAACCCACAAAAACCCCAAAAACCCCGGAAAAACCCGCGGGGTTGGGTTTTTCTAGAAAAACCCCGGGGTTTTCCGAACCCTGAATCACATATCGTCGTACTAATTTTAGAAAGACCGAGCTGCAGTCTATGCTACATTTTAAGAAGACGTAACTACACAAAAAAATTCTACAAAGACCTAAGTGCAATTTTAAAATTATGAAGCGTTAATTACTAAATTAAAATCACACTATAAGCTGAAACGCCAAGTTTGGCTCAACTAGCTTAGTATTGACACAAAATATGAAATTCAAAAACTAAACCTTCCTGTGGTTCTCGGCAGATATATTCAACTAAATGAAACATGGTGTCAAATATATATATCTTTTTCCTCAGGTCAATGAGTCAATCTCGGCAGATTATTCGAAATTTAAAAACCAAGCTCATGGGAGGTGTGGTTTTGACACAAAATGTAACGATATGACACGTAAATTTCAATTCGCTAGTCTAAATGGTGCCAGAGATATATGCATACGAAAAAATTGTTCTGTTCCAAAACTTTTCCAAACCTGCATAAATGTTAAGTTTCAGAATATTTTTAAAACACTCTAGAATATGGACCTCGCAAGGTCTTTGAAATATGAAAATTAGTTTACTATCACGATAAATGCAAATGTATGTACATACATAGATCAACTCATAAAAACCCTCTCTATGGGAACTTCCATAAGTTATGTCACGCAAAAATGACGAATTTCTTGACTGCCATTAATAAGTGTCAGATGGCCTGGACACGATATCATTGGACCCTTGGAGACCCCTTCTCCCCCCTCACCTGTAACATAACTTACGGACGGAACCTATGTATGTAAATGACAAGAAAAACACGATTTGTATTTTGTTTAATGTTTATCAAGCTGTTAATAGACATCGGACGATGATTTATTATCATCCACCGCTTTGGAAACACCTTCTAAATTTTAACTGGGCGTACTAAAATACATATATAACTAAATAGGTTCAGACAAATCTCGATATGTACGCCTAATGATAAAATAAAATATGAGCAATAACAAATTTGCAGGGTGGTTAATATTCCAGAGTGTTACGACGGAAGTGAGACACCATTTCCGCAAAATAGAAAAACTGCTTCTGGCAGAAGTAACACTCTCAACTATTCGCAGGATTATGACGCTTCTTCCGTGGCCTGCACAGTCTCCCGACATAAATCCGATTGTTTCGGTTGAGAAAAGAGCATTTGGCACTGTCTGGTAGAAAACCATTCGTCAAGAATCAAGCTGGTCAAAGTTTTGAGAGACCAGTGGGAAGTCATATCGGAACGAAACTTGTGGAGTCAATTCCATGGCGTGTTTCTGCTCTAATTGCATCGAGGGGAGTTGCTACGTGATACGAGAAGCAGTTTGTCGAAATAGAATTGGAGTTTCTTTAATTTATGATTTTTTGATTGAAAGGTGCCAATACTTTTTGTGGATTAGTTTTGCAAGTTTTCCAACAAATGATTGAAAAAACCTGTTCATGAAATTGAAATCAATAAAACATGATTATAATCGAATACTACATGAAATTTGCAAAATGTGTGCGAAATTTCATGGTAATTTGATGATGTATGCCAATGTTATATCCAATTTTATGTAGCTTGTACCAGGGTTGCCAATACTTCTTGGATTGACTGTACATAGGTCTAAACCCTTGTTAAACTTGGAGACAAATTGTCGCACGGGAAAACCGTATGATTTACCGCTAAAACAATACGTTTTGTCACCAACGAAAAATATCTAACAATAGGTCAAAAATTCATACGACACAGAAGTAACGTCGTTTTTTTAATTAAATCACATAAAATTTTTCTCTCAATATAAATAAATTTTTGTTTTACATGAAAGTATTGATTTTGAAAATAGCGACGTCACACCTGTTGGGCACATGAGTATTTGACTTATTTTCCGCTGGTGACAAAACGTTTGTTTAATCATTACTCAAAAATAGAACATTACAAATTTAGCGAATTTTAATTTTAAAAACTGAGCACTACACATACCACCTCGGCAGGTGAAAATTTACCTCTCAATTATTTAGAGTGTAGGAATTTATGAAATTCTAAACATAACTGCACTTTTTGCTAGATTACGCACTATTTATTAATCACTGCTTCAAAGTTTCTCTATTATCCGAATACTGACTTGATTCTTCTCCTAGAATTTTAAAACTAAGAAGGAAGTGGACAGCAAGGTCTGATTTTATTTTTTGTACGTGGAATGGTGACTTATTCATAGACTTGACACTCTCTCCACCTGAACGATAAATATATTTTTAGCGAGTGAAGGGTCAGGGATGCACTCTGCCTGACAAAATACCTTCGAGGTGGGTGCAGGTTAATGCTATGAAATCGAGGGCACTTTCCTTTCTGACAAAGTTCTTCAATATAGATTGGGCCATTCAAATATTATGGTATAAAATAAATCAGTCGGCGTGCCTCTAATTCAAAATACCTTAATGGGTCCCTAGTATTTTTTCTCAGGATTATGTACTTATGAATGAAGTCCATGCAATTCTTGGAAGGTAAGTGTTTGTGCTTGCATTAATATTTCATCAATTTTTCAGCTGTAATTTACAACTTGTAAAATCTTCCAAAATTTAAGTCTTTTGCAGTTGGCCACTAGTAACTACTACCTATTTCGATATAAAAATTTCCTCCTGGGGAAGAGATTTTGACGGTGAAACCAGTCTTGGCGTTTTTCGACCAATAACATTCAATCTTTTAGGTATAAAATCAGGATAGAGTTTGTAAAATCTAAGTGGATCAAGTACATATATTGAGCTCGTAGGGAATTATATTTAAAAGTGATATGATAAATATGTCAAACTTATTCAGGCACTATGGTCAAGCAGTCAAGCTAGATACTTTCCGACCTCCCCTCGTATTTATTTGTACATATTCCTCTCTCAATACACAGGAAATAGATGCAATCATTATCGATCTTCAGAAGCTGTTGACAGATTTCTGATTATTTTTGAAATAATAACTAAATTTAAATCATGCGGCCTAATTTAAATCAGACCAGATCAAAAATAAATTTCTTCAGTTCCCTTGTTCTCGAGTGTGTCTACGATAGTGTGTCTCTAAACTTGAAAAGTACAAAAACTGCTTCTTGCAGAAGTAGCACTCTCGTCGATTTGCAGGATTGTGACGCCTCGCATGATTGGCAAAACTTTTTTTCGAACGGCTCCTGAATTCGTATTTGTCGCAGGAATGGATCTTCTTATTAACGGGATGTCTGCCCTCCACGTGACGTCACATATCGAATGATGACCAGAATCTTTTGTCACAAAATGTGCACGGGTGGTTCGTCCGGTTTTCATGCACAAACTGGACATGCCTTTGTAAAGTAAGACTGTAGAAGAAAGTTTGAGGACAATGTTCACACTTGAAAATCCTTCGGGCAGATGTTTCTAAATGTGTAGCCTGCAAAATGAATAAATATTCAGGAAACGCTAGATTTGTCCTCCATTTTGTCAACAGAGATATTGGTTAATTTATTTTAGTCAGATGAATCCGTGACTCTCTAAAGAGAGTCAGAGGACAAATCCGCCCTATAGGGAGGAGCTATTTCATGAGGGACAGTGGAAAAATAACATGCAGGAGAGTACTCTAACACGGCCTGTAGAATGGCCAATGTTGAGTGGAAGTGGCATCGGCCACTAAGAATAGTTACTAGCATGCCTTCTTATGCCTGCATGCATGCTACAAAATCTGCATGCTAAGTGGCATCGATTTTAGGATTTTAGAATGTCCACCTAACTAAATTTATTTGTACCTCGTGACATTTCATGCCTGAGACTTGGGCGAAAGTCCGTCCACAAGTCACTTGTGACAAGTGGAACAACTGAATGCCTTCTCCGTCGTGTGGCTGGAAATGTGCGTCTCCAGGTTTCGCCTCGTTTTAAATTCTTTACCGCAAAGTGTGCACGGAAGTCTGGTCGGATTCTCGGAATGTTCAGTTGTTACATGTTTCTGTACGCTTACACTGTTTAAGTAGGTTTTTCCACATCTGGGAAATTCACATGGAAGACGAGGTCGTTCGATTGTGCTGTGAACGGTGACCATGTGTCGACGTAAAGCTGCAGATTAGAAAGACACGCCTAGCGATGCCCAACTCCACGACAACAAGTCTCCTTTGATTGGTTAGAGGTGAGTCAGGCCTAAAATTTCCAAAACCCAGCCGGCCCAAGCCCCACTCAAAAGCTCGACTCAAAAGACCGACCCTGCCCAAGCCCTGTGGGTTTGAACGTTGAGACAGCAAACTCCGGCCAACGTATAAATGTTCAAAAATTATTGGCCATGGATTTTCAGTAAGTGAAACAAGTCATAATGATCACGATTGTTTCTAATATGTTTTTGAATTTATCGAAATCGAAAAGATCTAGAATTTAAAAAACCAATTTTGTCTTTAAATAATTTGAAATGCAAATGCTCAAATTAGCTCATTCTGAAAAGCAAAATAAATATATGTACATATCTGGGTATGCTTATGTTTTCGAAAAAAATTAAATTGGTCTCGTATGCATATGAGATTTAACCTTGAACGACCTACATTTTGCGTCACTTGCTTGCTTTGTATATCTAACAAGAATTATTGAGTTATTGCGATCGGAGCAGATATGGATAAAGTTGACCAGACTAGTTACATATATTACTTATTTTTTATGCATGTGTATTGCCTTTTTTATGCAATCCATAATGTGCAAGATTCCATTCGTGGTTACGTTATGAGACTTATTATTATTCCAGAAAATGATGAGATTCCATGAAGGTGAATGAATATGCACATTATGCATTAAATAATGCAACTCTGCAAATTATACCAAAGACTGGTTCTACCTATTTAAATACAGTGACGCTAATAATGCAATCATCGTATCATCCTTACGAACGACTACTTGAAGTACGAACGACTACTTCAAGTAATCATGGGTAGCCTCCTTTATCATCTGTATCCAAAAGTGTGTATGTACATATGTACGTAGGATTTGGATGTGTTGGACTTTTGTAAAGAATGCTGAATAGCACCATTAATTCAAGGAACTCGTCAACAAATCCTACGTTCATCCTTATGATTAGGTTATTATCTATAAATGTTAAATTATTATAGAATTCGTAGATGCAGCGTTTCCAAATTACATGCTACACAAGTTTGCATCATTATATTGAACACATTAACACCATGCAGAACTGAGCAAGAAGAATGGGTCAATGTTTTGGTGTTATCATCACCATCGTCGTCGTCGGCCCATGTTATACATATTTTTGTATGGATTGGTATTCAATGAATCAGAAACGGGAGGACAAAGATATCCCAACGTTTACTTGGTGGTTAATAAAGAATTGTGTTTGAAAAGAGTGGGTGGACTTGAGTTAGTTGTTTTATTGACAAAGGTTTAAAAGGGGTTTGAGTGCAGGGGTCGTGGAGTCAGTTTTTGTTGGGAAGTGTTGGGCTACTCAGGTGAAGCGGAAATTAGTGTTGATTTATATTTATTGGAAGGAATTTAGTAATAATTAATAGATAATCGGAATGAAATTTCCAGTGGTGAGTGTAAAAAATTTTATATTTTAGGATGATAGTATTTTTAGAAATTCCAAATTTCGAATTCTGAAAAGTTGTGTGAAAAGTTGACATCTTCATCATCTTCATTCCATGCATCTTCATCATCCTCAGTCCATGCATCTTCACTATCGCCATCCATATCTTCATCATTTTCAGCCTTCCCACTAATCACATCTTTGTATGTGACGTGTGTGTGATGGCGATGGAGAGAGTCACTTGGTCCATAAACTTGCTCATAACTTGCAGGATGCATCCCTACGGAGCCAAATTTCGTCAAGAATTCCCCAAAAATTGGCCATGTTGGATGTGCGGTCATATCGCCCAGTGCAACTAATATTGCATTGGGGTCTTATTCCGAAAGGAATTTCGTAGTGGCATCTAATTGGAGACGTTTGTAGGCATTTCCCAACCGGCCACTATATTGACCAGTCTTATAGTGGACCATGACTAATTTGCCTGGAAAAGTTGTGTTACCCATTTGTATTTGAAGATTTGCAGTTATCTGTCTATGGTCGTTTGTGTCTAAACCCTTGATCCTGACCGTTCCGAATTTGGGAGATAATTTTGTTTTGTAAAATATGGCCATGCTATGCCCATAATATTTGTTGATGTAACAAGGACAAGGTGTATGATGCATTGACCAGTCTGGTGAAAGCAGTACCGTCAATAGATCACGTAATATCTTGTTATGTGGTCCGTGTGGTCCGCGATGTGTTTCGCACAACGAAAGAACATCACAATTTGTCCGGACTACAATTTGCTGAAGTTGCAGACACTTTTAGTTTATTCATATTCAGTGACACAACGCATAGAAGAGGATTACCCAACTGATGGGTTTGGTTTTTTTTAGAATCTACGATTGAATAAAATAAAAAAATATCAGTTTATCTTCTCATAAAAATACAATGTTTTATTTACCTGTCGGCTTAAACTTTTGAGTAGGGTTGTGCACCTTGTTCATGTTTTGAACTGAAGCCGTATCTATATTATCATCTTGTAAAACCTTCCGGATTAGTGTATCTTTTTTTTGAACCTGGTAGGTTGCTATTTGAGGCTGATTTGAGACGGATTTGTCACACTGGTTGGATTTGTGTTCCCTAATTTATACAATCTAATAAATGGGTTGATAATAGTTAGTATATATCAGTAACAATCACATAAATAAAATATGAAATATATAAGTTCTTATGTTTGCGTTACTGTTACGGTAACAACAAAAATATTACCTGATTCATAACTGGTGAGCTTTCAATGGAAACCTTTTGCGAAGGGCTTCGAAGGTTACCTTCGAAGGGCTTACACCAACGTCTTTTGTTTTTTGAAACATCAAGACGTATGCTTCGGGATTTGTTGCTTCCCATATAAAATTGGTCTTGTATATGCGTCGTTAAACTCAGAGTATCCTTGACCCTCGCATAGACCTAGCGCCATGTATCTGTAATGTGACTCGGTCATTGAAACCCCCACATGAACAATTGAGGTAACAAGATTATCTCTTAACTGTTGATTATGAACTTGTTTCTTGTTCGACATCTTCACTGATCCTGCGACATTTTCTTTGGATGTGGCTGAGAAATGAAGGCTTTGATTATGTGACGTTTTACTCTTCTTTCGTAGTCACTTTCTTCTTCA